TGCAGCTCCATATGGATAAAAACACCTTGGTTACACTGTAACTTCCAGGGATTACAGTCCAGAGTTCCTACTGGGGCTTCTTATAAGTGAGTTTCATCCTTGTGGGAGAAGAAGGATGGGGGAATGTCCAGCATCTAGACTCCATCTGTCTGTATTTAGAGAATTCTTCCTCATGTGATTCTGGATGAGAGATGCATCTTTCAACATAGAAGCAAAAAATGAGGCTGGTGGATTGCCTGAGCTCAGGAGTTTGAGACCAGCCTAAGCAAGAGAGAGATCCCGTCTCTAAAGAAAAATAGCCAGGTATTGTGGCAGGCAACTATAGTCCCAGCTACTTGAGAGGCTGAAGCAAGAGAATTGCTTGAGCCCAAGAATTTGAGGTTGCTGTGAGCTGTGATGCCACAGCACTCTACTGAGGGTGACAAAGTAAAACTCTGTCTCAAAAAAAAAAAAAAAAATGATAGATGCAAAAATGGATGGACGCTCACCTTCCCAGAGTCTCTTACAGCTAAGATAGGAGCACACAACTTAGCCTTGGCCAACCCCACATCTAGATCTAGAGATAGAGGAAGAGTTAGGTCAGGGCATTGGTGATAATCCCCAATGCCCAGAGGCAGCAAAGGCTGAGGTGACAGAATTGGGACCAAGTTTCTGGTCCCCATGGGGTGGTCGACATGAACACCAATGTCCAGGGTTTGGTGACAGGGTCCACCCTACAGAGACCCAGGCAGACTGTGTGTCCTTGGCTGTGAATCTGGCTGCGTCCTCTCCTTTTGTTCCTTACCTTTCTCTTAACTTCCGGCAAGTTCAGAACCTACCCAGCGTCTTCTCAATAACGTAACTCTTCCAAACCATTCAGCCATTCTCCACTGCTTCTGGGTAAGAACTGATGGGTCAGGCGCCAGCCACGTACACCTAAGGTGGCGGGTTTGAATCCCCAGCCCAGACCCGCCAAACAACAATGACGGCTGCAACCAAAAAATAGCCGGGCGTTGTGGCGGGTGCCTGTG